ATTCAGTGACTGGGGTAATCGGGATGGGTGTCTCAGAGACAGTGAGATTGGCAGAGGACAGAGCAGAGTTTAGGGCTGTTGTACATAGGGTCGCTATGAGTCGCAAACGACTTGACAGCACGTAACAACAACATAGGGTTGCTATGAGTCATAAGCGACTTGATGGCACATAACAACAGCAGTATACAAATTTGAGGAATTTAAAGTATCTTTTATTTTAGTTTTAAAAATTATCCTATGCATAGGCCATGTTGTTTTAGAAAGTATAGAAAATACTGATGTAAAAAAAACTTTGATCTTGTTTTTCTATTGAAACTAACCCTCAAACTGAGGAAAATTTATTTTTGCTTGGCTTCCTTTCCTAAATTGTGCCTGTCATTAAGAAACTTTTGACCTGACTGATGGTGTCCTGACTGAGGGACTGTGTGACTAACATGTGAAAGCTTTAGTGGCTATGCCCCCCCATGGAGGCCGAGGAGCTGGGCCTGCAGCCGTTTGAGGACCGTACAGAGGAGCATCAGCGGGATGAGGATGAAGGGGCGAATGGCTCAGCCAGTGCCGACTGCCAAGTGATGCTGGAAGGGAAGTTAAGATTGTACTTCTCCTCTCTGGACTTGACCATTAAGATCTTGAAGAAGAAGGCTCAGGACATCATCCAAAACATCAATGAGAGCAGGCAGAAGGACCATGAACTCATGAGCAACTTCAGGGACAGCCTTAAGATCAAGGTTTCAGATCTGGCAGAGAAGTTGGAAGAGAGGATGTATCATATTATAACTACCACAAGATTATCCAGTAAAAGCTCTAAGAGTTCACTCAGAAAATGGCAAAGATTACCCATTTGGAAGCAGAACTCAGGCAAGTCTGCCACACTGTGGAGACTGTCTACAATGACTTGTGTGTCCCGCCTGAATCACTCTGCTCGGCTGCTGCTGTGGTAGAAGAGCAGAACAAAAAAGATGGTGAATAATGACAGCACCAAGAATTCCCCTCCTGCTGACAGCCACTACGAGGTTCAGAGGCTGCTGTTCAAGTCACATGAACAAGTTGGTTTTCTAGTTTTTTGATGCATATCGTTAAGACTTAGAGCTCTTCTGCTAGACCCATAAATGCAGTAAGTCTAGCCTTGGTACTCTCTTCCCCTCATGTGGTAATCTGGCCCTCCCCTAGCCCCTGACACTTGATTAAATGTTTCCTTTTTTTAAAAAAAAAAAAAAAGCTTTCCTTGGATTCAGATGCATTCGTTATTAACAGTTCAACTGCAGTATTATCCTGTTGTCACTTGCACTACCTCATTTTTAAAACTTTGAAATATACATGAAGTTAAAATAATTGATGGGATATCTAATTCATGCAGCATAGTTGTAGGGACTGTACTGCTATAAATCTACCTGATCTTGCATAAAGTATAATTTTTATTGTACTGTTGCAGTAAAAGTGAGGGAAATCTTTTAAGGAAGAGGTTAGTTGGAAGATTAAATGATAACATTTATCAAGTGTTATCTTAAATAATAATTACTATTAATAGTGGCAAATGAAAAACCAGTTTAGTTCTGTAATTGAGAGTCCTGCACCATCCTCACAATCTCCACTGTATTTAAGCCCATTGTTTTAGTTAATTTTATCTCCTTAAGGGTCATCCTTTTTTTTTTTTTTACTGGAAAATAATTTTTTATTGTGACCCCTCCATCTAGTCCTGACATTAGGCACCTTCTTCTTTTGCAATGCGGTCTTTCTTAAGTGGTCCCATGAAGGCCTTCTTCTCCTCCATTGTCTGGAAGCGGCCATGGCCAAACTTGGAGGTAGTGTCGA